TCCCGATTGAAAACAACAACCGCGCAATCCGCCGCCAGCCCGCTCCGCGCACTCCGCACCTCAGAATTTGACTTCAGCACTGCGCCTCCTCTGAGTGTCCATATGCATTACTCTTTCCTCCTAGTTGTAGGACTTCCACTCAGCCAGTGTTCCTGTGGGTCTGGGTGATGTCCGTTCGGTCTTTTAGTTTCACTTTTGAAGTGGTTGTTAGAGGCAGCAAACTCCGGCGTTAACCTATGCCGCCATCTTGGTTCTCTGCACTGGTATTTTTTAAAGCACTTCCCCGGTGGCTCTTCTATGCAGTTACGTTTGAGCATCAAGGGCATAGGGGCCATTTGTCATTCTTTTTGTCCACCTGAACCTCCCTAGGGTCAGATCTCACCCCCCACTACTGAATCTCTCTTCCCCCCCACTCCCCTGGCATATGGAACATGGGCACTTACTTGGGGCGTCACCAACCAAACCACCCCAGACTTTGCAGCGGAAACTACTGAGACGAAGAAGCACAGACCACCAGTATCAACCTTATCGGCCAGGGTTTGGCATTGGCGGCAGCTCTATTGTTTCCAGAGGCAACCGTGACAATTCGTGGGGCAGGATGTTCAGCAGCAGGGACTGCAGGGCCTCAGCTGACCTTGCCAAGCCTGGTTTTGAGCGCTGGTCGTGGCTGCACAGTCTCTGAAACTGTTTCTACGGTCCTGGAGATTGTGAACTACCCCCTATAATTTTAAACACACAGAGCCTTTTATAAAGTGTAAATGTAATACAAAATGTAAAACCCACACAAAACAAATGTGTAGAGTAATGACTTGTTATGAGGCAAACACTTTTGTAAACAACATCCAGGCCAGAAGATAGGATTAGGTATTCCAGAAACTCCATTTATAACTCTGGCCATTTACAGCTCCTCCCTTCCTGCTAAAAATATCCCCACCCTGACTTGGAGGTTAATCATTTTCTTTATGGTATATTACCTTTGTATTTCTCTAAACACCCTATGCTTTAGTTTTGCCTGATATTTTTTTCCTCTCAGTCTTTTGTTAATTTATATTCTCTTTCACTCCTCATTGAAATTTAATTATGGAAAACACTGAATCGATTGTCCTGCAAAATTGATCAGTCTGGGTTTTTTAATTGATGTAGTTTAGCCCTAGCTAGCTGGTTTGGCTCATCGGATAGAGTGTCGGCCTGCAGACTGAAGGGTCCCAGGTTTGATTCCAGTCAAGGGCGTGTACCTTGGTTGCAGGCACATCCCCAGTAGGAGGTGTGCAGGAGGCAACTGATCAGTGTTTCTAACTCTCTATCCCTCTCCCTTCCTCTCTGTAAAAAGTCATTAAATACATTTAAAAACAATAATAAATAAATTGATGTAGTTTAATATGTCCCTCTGTCTTCAGGTTTCCTATAATTTGGTAGCTGGATCTAGACAGAGGTTTGATCTGAGGTTTGATATGTTTTGGCATTGCCTCACCATCGGAAGGACTGTGCTTGAGACACTAAGGTACATGAATGTCTGGATGTCTCTTGTTGGATCTCTCTCTTTGTGAGTTAGTAGCCATTGATCATGCCTAGATCCATCGATTCATTAGAGGTTGCAAAATAATAAAATTCTAGCCCTAGCGGGTTTGGCTCAGTGGATAGAGCGTCGGCCTAACTATAATTTCTTCATAGAGAATTCTATGGAGAAACATTATCTTGTTTACTATTGTTGGGAAGAAAAACCTCCCCTACCCTCTTAGGTGCAGTGTTTGGAGGTTTGCAAATTAAACTGACAAAAGACAAATTAGCAAAAACAAAAACAACAGATTTTTATTAACTGTGTATCTGGGAGTTCACAGAAGAATGTGCCTCCTAGAATTGGGGGCGTATATGGTATGTACCACCTTAATGGGATGGGGAGGGGCAGAGAGGCACTTCTGAAGAACAGATGACTTCTCATCAGGGCTAGGGGCACGAAGGTCACTCAAAATAAAGGACATTTGGGAGAGAGAACTGGACCCTTAGAACAGATGAGGTAAGAACTTTGAGAGCATGTTTTTGGGTGTGGTATACATCTCTCCAAGAAGAGCTCAGAGTTTGCTCCCTAGAGGGTGTTTTATGACAAATGAGTTCTTTTGGGAAGTTATGCTTTTAGTCAGATAAGGGATTTGAGGAATCCAATGCCTCAGCTCACAATAATTTATATACACAATCGCTTATTCTGCTCCACTTCACTGTTTAGTTACTAGTGGTAGAGTCTGTATAGGAGTGTGGATGAAAAGGGGGTTCTACAGATAGTAACCTCAAAGGGTTATCTGATCATAAATTCCTAACTGGGCAGGTCATGGTGGATAGTCACACCCCAGGGATATAACTTCTTTAGTAAAAGGCTTGCCTTTGCCTTTAAGTAAGCCCTGTCCATTGTTTCTGTGCTTCCACGTGAACAACTTGGAAATATCTCTTTTGGGACCCCTCAAGCAAAACCACCCTCAAGAAAGCACATAATCTAATCCAGTCCCCACCTTGCCAGACCCGTTTTGAGGCCTACGCACAGCTGAGTGGGTTTGGGGTGGAAGTTAAGGCTGTAACAATGGTTTGGGGGCTGGAGAAGGTCCTCAACTTTTGGGTCAGGTTAATGCACTGCTTTACACTTCCCTGGATGCTTGAAGTGACTAACGACGATGGGGCCGTGACAGACCCTTGCTGTAGACTCTTGAAAGTGGGTATTCGGAGGATTAACACTCTCATCTGTGCAAGACCGACCGGGGTGTGTGAGGGAGACCGACACCAGCTGATCACTCAGGAAATGAACGTGGTGGTGCAGAGGAGAGGCACTAGTACCAAAACTAGGCAGTGGGAATGCCAAGGGGAAGACGGGAGATAATGTAAGAAAACTGAACGGCACTAGGTGACAGCGAGGGAAGGGTCATCAGTGGTTGAGGTCTCAAAGCTCAGTGATTAGAAAATAAGTAAAATTTCAATGTAATCTCCTGTATGAGTGACCTAGAACTTAAACTGGAACAGCCATCCCTACCTACCCTAGGATCTTCAAACAGTTTTCTTCAAACATTTACTTCCTAGGTAACACTCAAGGCCCGTTAGAAGGAAAAACAGAGCTTAGCCTGTGCTGATGAAGAGGACAAGTAGCTCACAGCACCTAGCAACTGGGTCGTGTTTTCCCAGCTGCAGGAATGTGGACCCTCGAGGTCACAGAACAGCAGCCGGTGCCCCATAGATAACTTCAGCTCTGTCTCTCACCCCAGCAAGTGTCGCTCGGGCAGCGTCTTCATCCTGGTAGTTTCACTTCAACATCTGTCTTGGAAATCTCCCAGGCCCAAACTGTTTCTGTGATTGACATGAAACAAGAGCTTTCATGGAGTCCTTCAGGCGCTTCTGAAGAGGCACAGGTGAGAGGCCTCTCCTGAGTCCCCTCTTTCCATTGTCATATCCGCTCCGCTCCCTGCACTTCTGTCTAAAGCAAGGGGACCCTCCTTTTCATTCAGCACTGAAACCCTGCACGTCAGGCGCTCACCGGAGAGCTTCATCTTGGATTGACTGGTCTAGCTCCAGTCAAAAGAACAACTCTAATGAAAATGCGAATTATCCTTTCTTTCAGAAGCAATAAACTGTATATATCAAGTCAAATCACCATAAAGTTACAAACCTAGACTTTAGTAGAAATGTCACCACTGATTTACAATCTACTCTTGCATTTTTTCTGAAATTCAAAAAATGATAGAGGCATTCAAGCAAATATGTGCATTTTAATGAACTTGCATTGGAGACAATTTACTTGCATTGTAAATAACCCTTAATGGTAGAAACTTGTGTGTTTTGTGCTAGAGATTTTCTTTCCTTATCAGCTGTTATGCTCTCTTTAACTGGCTGCAATAGGAATACACCACCCCTCCTTCTATCTTGAGGCTGGAAATCTCAGACCTAAATTCAGTGTCCCAGAAAAGCCCGGGGCCTCCTCTCCTCTCCACAGCTCTTCATATTCAATTGAGTCAGACTATACCACTAGTCACTGACTTAAACTCTTGCAAGTCCATCTGGGAAGCTGGCATACACTATAACCAGTTGCCTTACTCGCCCCCCCCCCCCCAACTTATATTTTGAGTTATTTCACCACTATTACTCATTCAACAAAGATCTGCTCGAAGTTTCGCCTCAAAAAGCCAATTAAGACAATTGTGGAAAGCAACCGCCTTTATTACTTTCAGCCAAAGGATGGTTTGAAGTAGGAGGAAACGGAATTAGCAAAGTGGAGGGGGTAATAAGGTTTAAAGCAAAAACAGTAGTAAACTGAGCCAAGTACGTTTCAAGGGCATTACTCTGTTAGAAGGTACCAGTTAGGCTAAATCAGTGGTTCTCAACCTTGGCTGCACATTAGAATCACCTGGGAATCTTTTTAAAATCCTGATTTCTGGGCCTCATCCTCCGGAAATTCTGTTTCTTTGTTATGGGGTAAGGCCACAACATTAGGAACAAAGAAACAATTTCCGGAGGATGAGGCCCAGAAATCAGGATTTTAAAAAGATTCCCAGGTGATTCTAATGTGCAGCCAAGGTTGAGAACCACTGGCTAAATGGTTACATTAGATAAAGACTTCACTACCACTCTGCTTGCTGTTGGCTCTGGCACGATTATTAACCCCATTATAATCATTATGACCAAACCTTAGGACTTATCCTGAGAAACTGTATGAGTGGCCACTGGTGTCAGGCTTGGTTTCAAAACCCAACTCCAGTACCAACTGGCTGTGCAACCTTAAATTATTCTGAGTTAATCGTGTAAATCGGGTACTACTTCACCAGGTTGTTGACAACATAACCCAAAGATCCGAGTGCCACAGCACCGAGCAAGCTAGTAGTAGGAAAGTCTTTCCCCTTCACATAGTCCCTTGAACGTTAACCCTGCATTGCCCTCTGCCATCATTTTAGGTGGGTCCTACTTAAATCTGACTTCACATGTGATCTCTAGAACCCTTCAGTTTCCCTCCCAACCTATCTACTTTCCCTCAAACATGCTGCTCTTCCCCTTCGAAGGCTTCCCAGGTCTCCCACCTCCCGATCACACCATCCAGCTGGACTGCTGCTTTCTCACATACCCTGGTTACTGATTGGCCTATAGGCCCTTCTTACCCTTAGCCAAGCAATATCTGTATCTAAGAACCAATTCACATCCCTCCTCCCTCCAAAGCCATCCCAACTACAGTATTCTTGCTCTTTATTCTTTCAACTGCTCTTGCCCAACTGAACTTGCTCTTCTTTAATACAGTACTTAAGATCTGGATCACAACTATTTGGCTCTTGTGTATGCTTAGCTGATGAATTGCTTTTGCTTTCTAAAAAGTAGATCATACATTTAAGGGTAGAGCCCCAGCCAGTTTGGCTCAGTGGATAGAGTGTCGGCCTGTGGGCTGAAGGGTCCCATGTTTGATTTCAGTTAAAGGCACATGCCTGGTTTTCGGGCTGGGTCTCCGCAGCCGATCAATGATTTTTTCTCACCATTGATGTTTCTCTCTCCCTTCCTCTCTGAATTATATAAAAATGTAGATAGACTATGTTCTATTTTCCTATACCAATCTGAAAAGCAGAATCATAGGCCCCAACCTAGACACACAAAACAGTATGTTGGAGGGAACTGAATGACGAAGCATTTAAGACATTCCAGGTGATGCTTCTAAACCAGCGGTTCTCAACCTGTGGGTCGCGACCCCTTTGGCGGTCAAATGACCCTTTTACAGGGTCACCTAAGACCATCCTGCATATCAGATATTTACATTACGATTCATAACAGTAGCAACATTACATTATGAAGTAGCAACGAAAATAATTTTATGGTTGGGTCACAACATGAGGAACTGTATTTAAAGGGCCAGAAGATTGAGAACCACTGTCTGCAGTGAGAAAACTTCTACATATCACCCATCCAGCACAATCTTGTCAACAAACATTTATCTTTGCTTATGGACTAATAACACCTTAATAAAGGATTAAACATTTCCTTCCACACTATATATAAAAAAGCTGTTTCGCCCTGACCGGGTGGCTCAGTTGATTAGAGCATTATTTCAAAAGGTTGCGGGTTTAACTCCCAGTCAGCCCACTTACCTGGGTTTTGGGTTATCCTGGTCAGGGCACACACAGGAGGTAACCAATTCTTGTTTCTCTCTCTCTCTCTCAAAATACAAACAAAAATCAGTGGATCCCTGGCCGTGGGCTCAATGGTTAGAGCACCAGCCTAAATACCAAAGGGTTTTGGGTTTGATTCCTGATCAAGGGCACGTAGTACCTGGGTTGTGGGTTCGCTTCAGCCCCGAGTTGGGAGGCATACGGGAAGCAACCAATGTGTCTCTCACACCCATGTTTCTCTCTCTTCCCTCCCTCCCTTTCAGTCTCTGAAAAGCAATGGAAAAATAATCTTGGGTGAGAATCAAAATCAATGGAAAATATTCTCAGGTGAGTTTAAAAAAATGTTTCACACTATAGTTCACCCCAAAATAGGAAATTCTTGTGTTTTTCAGGTAAGGAGTCAATGCTAAGAGGGTTCACCTTCCAGAATAGCAAGCCTGCCTTTGTGCCATGGTAACCA